CTGGAAAGTTTCGAAATGTGGTGTTGGAGAAGAATGGAGAAGATCAGTTGGACCGATTATGTGAGAAATGAAGAAGTGTTAATTAGAGTCAGTGAGCAGAGGAATATCCTACATGAAATAAGAAAACGGAAGGCTAATTGGATTGGTCATGTTTTACGCAGAAACTGCCTTCTAAAAGAAGCTATCGAAGGAAAGATAGATGGGCGGATAGAAGTGACAAGAAGACGAGGAAGAAGACGTAAGAAGATGCTGGATGACCTTGGGGACAGAAGAGGATACTGTCATTTGAAGGAGAAAGCTCTAGATCGCATTAATTGGAGGAATTGTTTTGAAAGAGACTGTGGACCTGTCGTCTTGACAGATTACTAATGATGATGAACAGATCCGTGATTAGAAGTAATTATAACCGTTTCGCTAATTCACGCATTTTACACTTCACTAGAACACATACTTAAAGTCATCCGGCGGAGATCGTGGAATTTTTATGGGCGGAAAAATTCAGGGAACAAGTCCTCTGGGAGGGCCTTTAAGCCGTGGGTCCCGTGTCGTAGATTTACGGCACGTGAAAGATCCTCATGTCTCTAGGAGACCTCTGAGCAAAATTAGGCAAAAATTTCCCGCCCAAGTAGTTTCCAATGCCTCTGGTAGTTGAGGGAAGTGTCGGATACCTCTGCTATTAGAGGGGCCGAACTCGCTGGCTGAACGGGGCTGATAGCATGCACCAGTATCGGAAGGGTATGGCGACTGCTAGAATATCAAAGGGGTCGTACAATAGATCAACAACTGGTCGTGGTGCATGGGGAACCCATCCCCTCTAATAATGAATTAATGAATGAATGAAAGTCCTCCCAGCCTGCTTTGCCTTCACAGGTTTTGTGGCCAAGTCTTCCAGCGACGGACATTCTCCTACCTGTAGGTTCCCAAACTGTCCTCGGCCTCGGCTACAGCCACTCTCCACTATCGGTCGGTCGGTTAAATTTCTGGTGGTTTCGCCACCATAGGTATTCCTGGCTTCAATCTCCTCGAGAACCACGAACAAGATTCTTATTGTCTTGTAGACATGTACTTTTTCTTAAATGGGGCTAGAATTACGTTACTACTGACAGTTTACCGCCAATCGATTAGTTTGAGGTTCACGACCAGAGAATTTTTTTCAACTGAACCCTTGTGATCACAGTCCTTATATAACAACTTATGAGTGTCCTTGGCATTGTCAAGTGTTCGTTTCACACATAAATAAAGTTATTGAAAATTATTGCTTTGGCGCCATATACAAGCCCTCTCTCAGTCCAGGTTTTGCAAGGCAGATCATACGTCTCAGGCCATAATCAAAGTCACATTGCGAGTGATGATCAGTCAGTCTTCGTGTCGAGCCCAATCTGGAGCTTATGACCAGATATTTATTACTCTTTGACAGTTTCGGTCTTGTTATTGTGGGGCGCCCTCCCGACGAGAGGACTGGTCTGTTTTTGTCAGTCATTGTCTGCAGTATGAGCCGTGTCCCTCGACCCTGTGGGTAAAGGACCCCGTTCTTCTACCCACTTTGACCCGTGAATCCCTATTCTATATGGGTAAGGGGTAGGCTCATAAGAAGCGACTTGCTTGTAGCGTGATGCACTATGTCTCCCTAGGATTGAGTAAGGGATCTCGGGGGAGGAAAACCACAGTCGGTACGATGGGCCAGGCTGGACGGATCCACTAGGCAGGAACTGGTATGGAACATACGGCACAAGTATACATATACACTGTTATGCTGCGGTGACAGGGAGGCGTTGAGGTGTCCCGCTCTGTCACCCGGTTTAGTATGCTGCCACCATCTTGTTATGTCAAGATAAATTCCGGTAAACTTATCGATCGTTGACGTCACTGGTCCTGGCTTTAACTCGCAATTCTCCGAAGCTTCGGGAGGTGCTGGATGGAGTCGGCAGGGAAAACGATAACACTTGAGGGAATGCTAGGTTTAATTAATATCAGCGCATTTCTATCCGAAGTTTGTCGGTTCGCATTATATTTGGTTATGACCCTGTAGTACACACATTAGTTCTATCTCCTGTCACCCTGATGTTGAGTATCCTAGTCCATCTAGTTTTCCTTTCACTCCCTGGGGTTTGCACTTTAATATTATCACACTTAATGTTCATGGCTTATATGAGGTAAGTCTACTTATGTGAGTTGAGGAAAGAGGCGCTCGCCATCACTCTCTCGGCGATGGCCTTCGGCTGAACCCTGTATCAATTAATAATATTAAAAAGTCAACAATTTTTAGATTGATTCCTCTATAGTTTATGTACCCTCTTTTTGCTGACTCGCGGGGTTCCGGGGTGTATTCACCCGCCCATCCTGACGTGATTTTGGGTAGGTGCGGCCGACTCATTGGCTGTTAATCGTAAGTGGTTGGCTCTTTCAGGTCTACCGCCCTCTCCGACTCAGCGTTTTCCTCATGTCATAATTTTTAGGATCTACCTCATATAGCTTCTTCCTCAATGTCAGCGTTATTACGCTGTCGCGCTAACATTCTGATTACTAAGCTATTGACTGTTACACTTCTTTGTAAACCCAAGCTTCCTGGTACGTTTCATCNGTATACAAATGGACTCCGCCTGAAGGACAGTGACTGCTCAGAACATGTGATAGATAATCAATACAGAATTACGCTGTGTCCAACAGCACAGCAACTCAATTAGGCCACGCCTCATGGCATATTGCATAGTCTTCGGTACAACATGTACTCGATCAAGCCTTCATAACAGAAAGAAAGAGAGACAGCTTGAAATACTACAGAACACGCCTGAAGGGCAGTGACTGTTTATCGCAACCTTGGACAACCAAAATTACTCTATGCCACACGGCGTCTATAATCAAACCAAAATGCGCCTTACGGCGTACATTACCTTAGTAAGTCACTTACTTGTATTCTCGGATATACAACTCAAAGATTTACCTCACGATTGATCCACCCTTGACCAAATCGTGAGGGCACTCTTCGCCCTTCGATCAGTGCTGCGGGCCGAAACCAAATTTCCAACACAATCAATTCAACTTTCCGAAACCAAATTTAGACGCAGCGATGTTTCCAGGCGAAGTTCAACGGGAAGAGAGAAAGATTACCTTCACTCGAGCTAAGCAAGAAACCTCTGTCTAAGTCCAGGAGGGAGGAGACAAGGTCAGCTGACCTGACGTTAGTCAAAGACGTTAACTGGAAAGAAAGGAACGGCTCGCATTCTGGCGTTTCGGGTGGGAGGGACTCCAAGGAACTTAACGAAGAAGAACCGTTGCACGGTCCAAGTAATAAGTCATTTTTCATAATGCAAAGAGTGTTCACAATTTACATGTTAAACGTGTTAATGAATCTATGATACGTATATAATGGCTGTCTTGTAGTGCACTCAATTTCATATGACGCTTCATACTACATGTTTCGGCAACATAGTACCATCTTCAGGTTCATTATTTACGCTAAGCTATTACATTGTTTGCCATCTTGTGTCTTTCATAGAATTATTTAGAAAGTACATTATTCGTCAACTAAAATAATTTTTGTATATACTAAAACTTGTTAAGATTATTCATCTATATGTCTAAATTCAAACTCGCATATAGTATGGTTCGTCCACTATGGGAGTCGTTTCTATGTGTACTGTGTCTGTGATGTGTCCTTCCTTTTTGGCTGCGTCCCATAGTGGACGAACCATACTATACGCGAGTTTGAATTTAGACGTATAGATGAATAATCTTAACAAGTTTTAGTATATACAAAAATTATTATAGTTGGCGAATAATGTACTTTCTAAATAAGTTTATGAAAGACAAAACATGGCAAACAATGTAATAGCTTAGCGTAAATAACGAACCTGAAGATGGCACTTTGTTTGCCGAAACATGTAGTAAGAAGCGACATATGAAATTGAGTGCACTACAAGACAACCATTACATACGTATTGTAATGTGTTTCGTTACTGAAGACGCCGTAGAGATGGTTAATTTGTTTATTTAACAGTCTACAAGTAACGGCTACAATTACTTATCACACAGTTGCGGGGTTTCACACTTTATAACCCTAATAGCATTAATCTGTTAACACTGTTGCGGGGCTTCACGATTTATAACCCTATGCGCAAATCAGTTCACTCCTCTGCCTTCAGTAGTCTACACGTTTACAGTAGGGGAGCTAGGTATCACTGTATCACACACTCCCAATTACACAATCACACAAACGTCCGGTTCTTCTTTCCGCGACGGCTGCTATACTCCAACCGTAGTCGGCTGACTGGAGAACTGTTGATAACACACTAGCTCGTAGGCTTGCTCGGAACTATCTTCGGCGATGGCCACGTCATAACTCGGAAATGTCTTCGGCGATGGCCACGGTATAACTGACTGGTAGCTGCTGTGCACTTCCCTTATATATCCGCAGTGGTGCCTGTTGCGTGCCACGTCACAGTAGGAAGCGGATCCGCTTCACCCTGGCGTCACCGCGCGTTGTGCGTTGCATAGCTACCAGGATGCGGGGACTCAGCTAACTTCGACTCCGCTCGGCTCACTTCGGATCCGCTCGTGACGTCACCGCGGGGAGAGTGGCGGGATGATGACTCGCCTATTGCGCGAGCGCTACGTTACCGCCACGTGCCGCTGGGGAGGTAGGGGTCCTCCGTTACGCAACATGTCACAGTATCATGGATGAAAATCAGTGCAACAGGACGCTAAAATACAACATAGTGTTAATGAATGTATATAGAATGTATATATGACCCCTGTCAGTCCAGGCTCAGTACAGCATATTTCTAGTAGCTTCTGCTACAACGGCAGTTTTGTCACTTGAACGGTCGTATGCTTCACCGCCGCCAAGTTTAAGCCTCTTGTACTTTCTGTGTCGGGCTTCGTCTCGTCCAATATTGCAAATATTTCCGTTATCATGGTTTTGTATGACTTCAGTTTGTTGCCTGCATAATTTTGTAAACAGTCATATTCGTACGGGATTTTAAATGCCATGTGCAATCGCGGACCGGTGTACGCCTTAGAAAATTGCCAATGGTGTGGAGAACCTTGTTTTGCAGGCGCTGCAATTTCACTAGATGGCTGTCTGCCGCGAATTCCCAGGCGAGATTATCATAGGTCATTACGGGTCTAATGAGAGCTTTGTGGAGGATGAGCTTAATATTAGCCCTTAATCTCTCACTTTTGATTAGGGAATACAATCTTATAAATGTTCTGAAGGCCTTGGCCTCGACCATTTCTATGTGCAACCTCCATGTAATCCTTCTACCGAAGAATACACCGAGATATTTTACGCTATTTTTCTAGTATATCTTCCACTAAATGTAAGATGAAACACAGGTTGACGACTGCGAGAGAAGTAGATCCCTGAATTTGATTTATTTCATTCTGGTCCGTCCAAGAACAACGCAACCGTAAACATTTTATTGTTGAAATTAAGGGTCACGTGGTCCGACAGCCTCATACATTGCAATGTCGTGCTGTGACGTGCACAAAATTCAAACTGGTTTGCGTTGAACAGGCCTCTTTCTCCAATAAGTTTTTGAAGTAATTTCAAAATCACTTTTCCGAATAATTTTCCTGTCGTGGACAGGAGGCTGATTGGACGTATATTTTGCGGGAGTTTCATGTCTTTACCGGGTTTAGGTAAAGTTATAATTTTTGCTTCCTTCCAAGTATTTGGAAAATGAGAGAGCCGAAAACAATGATTAAATAAATGAGATAGGTTAATCAATGGCCGCCTTGGAATGTGCCTGAGGCATTTATTTAAGATGCCGTCAATTTTACAGGCCTTTTTTAATTCAAGAAAATTTATTAATTTCTGTACGTAACATGGTCTGATCCTTTGAGGGGGTTTGTCGTCTACAGTTTCGAGCTGAGCTTGAACTCTAGCCTCCACCCGCCGTCCATGGTTATCGTCGCACAGGCATGTGGCGTGAACTGAATTTCCAAACAGTCGGCAATTCAGTTGGCTTTTTCGGAAGAGCGAAATTTAAGGCCAGAAGAACCATTAATAGCAGTTGGTACCCTTGGTCCGTCTCTCGCAATGGACCATATACCCTAAAGTATGACTTCAGCACTACCTATCTTTGTTTCCCACCGTTCAAGTGCCTTTTCACGGGTCATTCGTCTAATTGATTATGTGACCCAGTTGACTTCCGTTTTACACACTGGATCCCTGGTTTCACAATTTTCGTAGCCTCTGTTTATGTATAACAAATGATCTGGACCAGGTAGGTCGTTTATGTCCGAAAGTATACTTGTCGACAACCTACATGCCGAAGCAATAGAGGCTGCAAAGTAGCGAGCCGCTTTATCGGCTTCTATCCTCGATTTAATTTCTATTTTAAATTATATTGTAGCGTGACACGCAAAACAGGCTACACGTGTGCGTGTCACGCTGCAATATTAACTCAGGGGCGAGGCTTTAAAACCGTTCCCAATCTGTGAATTTTTCAATAGGTTCCCATAGATTCCTAATCTTAACGTGATCCAGTATGTGGAATACTATTGGTAGGTGATCTGAATTCAAAACATCAGAGATGATGACATTTGACACTCTGATATTTTTGTGGACCACAATGTCGAGCACGTCACCATTTCCAGCAGGGGAATAATGAGAGGGGCACTGTGATGCGGAAAGTTCGAATTCACTCATATAAAACACATCCATGAGTTTCTTACCTGAGGGGTTTTAAAGTCTGCTATTCCAAAGGGTGTTTAGCACTCAAATCACCTGCCAAATCTGTGTTTTCTATGTGGTTCGTGCTGAGGCGTTATAAATAATGATCAGTTGGTAGTACGGCTGTAGGCAACAAGCAGAAGTCATACAAACCATGATAACGAAAGTGTTCGTAATATTTGGCAAGGCGAAACCCGAAACAGAAAGTATAAGGGGCATAAACTTAGCGGCGTTCAGACATACTACCGTTCATGTGAATATACTGTCGTTGTGGCGGAAGCTACTAAAGATAGGGCATAACATCCTGTATTGAGCCTGGACTGACAGGAACCTTGTATATATTGTATATAAGAAAAAACTTCGTGGTTTTAGTAACCAAGAGAACTACACCGACCAAGCGACCGCCGCTTGTCGGCGAAGTTAGTGGAAACTTTACTGGGCCTCGCCATAGCTCAAGCGATTAGTTTCTGGCTTCCTACCGTGGCGGCCCGTGTTCGATGCCGGGTCTGGTCAGGTGGGATTTGAGGTGGGCAAACTGGCGCTGGGGTAGGTTTTCTCCAAGTACTTCGGTTTCCCCTGCCAATCTTCATTCCGCCAATTGCTTCACAATCACACTCACCTATCATCTGGGGCTGGTACAATAGGCCAGAAATGGCCGCAGTATAAAGTGGACTCAGTCTTACCCCAACTAATAATATTAATGAGTGGAAACTTTAGCGGATAGAGGGTGTCGCGTGGTCAGCGCAACGAATTCCTACGGCCTCCATTTCCTTGAAACGGCTCCTCAATATATATATATATATATGTTGTATACAGCATTAGTTATTAGCAGGTTACTTGTAAATAATTATACACACTGACAAATCTGCAGTCTATCACTGAAAATTGACAGACCAGACCTATCGTCAGAGAGGGCGCCCCACATGGACAGAAGATAAACTTTCAAACAAAAAGAAATGCCTGGGGCTCGACACCAAGACAGACAGACTGCCAGTCGCAATGGGATTTCCACTTAGGCTTTGAAAGCCCAACTACACCAAATAAGTGTTTCGGTGGAAGGCGAAGTTTCTACGCCAAGAGAAATGCGAGCTGGGGTGCCTCAAGTTTCTGCCCTGTCCCCTAATTTCTACATTTTTTTAACATGTAAGATGTAAATTGTTCTGTAAAGTGGATGGCCAGATGGTTCCTAGGCAACGACTTGTAGTCAAACTTCAGTCGCGTAAACGCACTCAACAGTAGTAGTCATAGGAAGTTCGTAGAAAACCTGTGAAGATTTAAAGTGTGATAGAGGACTTTATTTATGTATAATATTGGGAATGTGTAACAGTGGATTATAAAAGAACTCCGTGGCTTTAGTCCGCAAGAGAACTATACCGACCGAGCGACCGTCGCCTGTTG